AAGAACAGTACTGGCTTGCGACACATCTACAACAAGATTAGATCGGTGAGGAAAAACAAGAATAGCATAACTTCAGGAAAATTTTAACGAGAATCGATTCTAACCCGTATCTCTAAGGAATAAACCAGACTCAAAAAATCCTGGGAGGGAAGGGCAAGATAATTAGTTCAAGAATGCAATGAAAGAAGTGCTTCGTGGAAAAATCGGAACTGTCTACCAGGGAGTCGGAACTGTTCGTCAGGAAGCTGGGATAGATACGAATAACTTGTTACTGTTCGTTAATAAATGAATAGTGTTCAGAAAAAAATAAATAAATAGAAAATTAGAATGCACCATTACGTCAGTCAGACATCATGAGCGATGTACAGGCGTAAGTCAAGCCTGTTACAATGGCTTATAGTTGAAGCACCTGAAATGGCTACACGCTTGATTGTTGAATTCCGTGCCCCTGCCTTAGACCTATTAGAGACTAGCTAAAAACAGGACCACACATGTGGAAAGTTTACAAAAAAATTGAAACAGATATCCGCCATCTGGTTAATTGGAACAGAACAGAAATGCGAGAACAAGTAGTAGCCGAAAATTTCATCAATGGAATCGGGGATATGGATGAAGAGATTAGATTATTCTGCCTAGTGCCTATAACTAAACCAAACCATCAAGTAGCAGCGAAGCTCTAATTCAAACCCTAGAAATCGAAGCGTTTAAGAGATCCAAACTAAAAATCAGAGCGGTGTTCAATAAAAAAAAAGGACCAATAGTAGACATTATTGAAGACTCAATGAAGGAACTGCTGGAAGATATACAAAAGGTTACTACAAAATAAAAATAAAATCGAACAACATTTTGGTGAATTGCATGATAAAGCAGATGCCTCATCCAGCCAACCAAGCTCAGTTCCAACAAGAAGATTGGTGGAATACTCCTGCTGATCCAGAAGGTCAATACCATTATCCATCAGGTGCTCTACGGATCCATATGATGGGGAATACTACAAGTGCTACGACTAGGATAGATAAGGCGGCTGGCAGCATGTCAGTAAATAAGGAACAGGGCCATTCTTCTTGTTCCCGTGGCGTTAGTCTATGAGAAGTAAAACCACGCTGACGTAGGCTAGACCTGCATGGTATAGACCAGGGATGTGCCGTAGACCAGGGATGGGCATCTACGCGTAAATAAAGATTGTCTACGTCTGATGTAAACAACGCGTAGACAATGTAAGTAAGCTATGTAATCTATGTAGACAACGTGTAAAATATGTTAGTAGGAGAGCCGGCAATATTAACGGGTATGTGATCGTTGCAATGGATAATTTTCACATAAAAGAATAGCTCATAGTTACCTTTAAACTAAATGGATGGGTGGCCTCGATTCTCATGGCCGCAACCCTTTGAAGGCTGGGCGTAAACTACCCCTCTTTTTCCAAAGGAACTTTGTTATCGTTGCAATAGCTGAAAATTGGTAGATATATTCTTTAATATGTCTCCTCAATTAATATATAGGGTGGCCTCGAATTTGATGGCCGGAAATGATGGCAACCCTCATTAAAAGGCGAGCGCATGCGTTATTTTGCTTGCTAAATACAAATTTTTGAAAATGACAGCCTTCAAAGTCACTTTCATCAAAGTTAAAAGAGGACTCTGTGAAGAGGATTTTGCATACGGCTATAGGTCTTTAGACAAAAAAAGAAACTTGAAATTTTGTTAATAAAGTGTTTGCCGCATATGATGAGAACCCCAACATCGCAAGGGACTTCTTATTTGTTGCGCTTATGGTTCTTGAAGTATCTTTCTATAAAACAACTTTACGGCCATGAGAATCGAGGCAACCCATCCATTTGGTTTAAAGGTTACTATGAACTATTGTTTTATGTAGAAATTATCCATTGCAACGATAACATACCACATACCCGTAAGTATTGCCGGCTCTTGGACTATGTAGACAACGCGTAAAGGCCGGGACACATCTATCATGCATTCTTCCGATCCGACTCCGATCATACAATCAAGGTCCTTATTCTTGGAACCGGGGAGCAACGGATCACTCGTTCTCCTGGGAACGCAGCTCCCTGTGTTCCAAGAATAAGGACCTTGATTGTATGATCGGAGTCGGATCGGAAGAATGGATGATAGATGTGTCCCGGGCTTTAAGTATACAATTTTTGACAGTTGTGAAGCCTTAAAGGTTATGATTCTGTTTTTGCTTTGTTTTGGTTTTTGCTGTGTAAAGTTAATTAAACCGCGAATAATGACTAATTTAATACAATATAAATTTAATCCAATGAAAACTTTCCAAAAAAATAACTCCAATTCCAAATTTTCCGTTGTCTACACTAAAGTCTACATTAGGCAATTCAATCCATCTGTCAAAAAGGAAAATTCAATATGGCGTGGCGGCCAAGCAAGTTTGTTTTGAATATGTTTTTATGCGTATTTTAAATTATTTTGCTTAGAGTTTTGCTTGCAACTTTGATTTTGATTATTTGATAAAATATTTATTGACTATGTACCTTAACTATTAAATCGGGCAGAAACTAGATATTTTTTTGTATTTTTTGGCCCATGTGTGGCCGCCACGCCATCTTGAATGTCACGTGGTTTGAATTGCCTAATTGTCTACATAGTTTACATAGTCTACATGGAAAAAGTGGATGTAAACAATACGTAGATAACGAGTAGACAAACCGCGTAAAGTAGATTTCATAGTCTACGGCACATCCCTGTCGTAGACTATGAAATCTACTTTACGCGGTTTGTCTACTCGTTGTCTACGTATTGTTTATATCAACTTTTTTCCATGTAGACTATGTAAACTATGTAGACAATGTAGACAACAGAAAATTTGAAATTTGAGTAATTTTTTTTAAAGTTTGCATTGCATTAAATTTATATTGTATCAAATTAGACACTATCTGCAGTTTAATTAACATTACAAAGCAAAAAACAAAACAAAGCAAAAACAGAAACATAACCTTAAAGGCGTGCCAACTGTCAAAAATTGTATACTTCACGCGTTGTCTACATATTTTACACGTTGTCTACATAGATCACATAGTTTACATTGTCTACGCGTTGTTTACACCAGACGTAGACAATCTTTGTTTACGCGTAGATGCCCATCTCTGGTATAGACAGATGTTGAGCTTGTGGACAGTTGAAATGATAAAGATGATTAGGAGTATGACGAGCCACATACATCCAGAGGACATTATTTCCAAAGACCCGGCTCTAAGGACTCTGAAATGCAAAGTATTGCTATTAGTTAAAAGATAGATAATGAGTGATGGATTCATTAGAGAAGAAGTATGGACTTGCAGTAGAAAAAGTGATAGATCTTGTCAGGGTGCATCGGTGCGGCATGCCAACGCCGCTGTTCACGATTTCGAGAATGAATATTCAGGAAGATTATTCGATTTGATGTTTTTGTACCAAAAGTGCGTATGTGGTCCTGGCGGAATCCGTTACAGTAGTTTTGATGATGAAAACCTCCTTCCCTGCCAAACAAAATTCATATTCTATAAGCACCTCTCAAAATGGGTTCTAACTGTTGCGCCATGGTGTTTCTGTGAGGCATTCTTGGCGTTGTTCCTTTCTCCTAAGATTTCATTAGTTCTAGAGAAGGTTGGGAATCATTTGTCTCCGCAGCTGTCGTTACAAGATTGTCATCCCATCGTCGCTTGTCTCTTCTGGCTGATCGTTTTATTTATTTGCCTATAGTATGGTATTTTTGTTTCAAAGATCCAAAGATTGAGAATTTGGTGTCTGTGAAATTCTTAGTATGTATGTTTTTCGATTCTTCGCAATGTCTCTTCTGTGATTCATAATATGCCCTACCTCCTTTCCTATGGCCCAAATTGTGTTAGGTATTTATCATGTTTATTTGTTTTATTTGCTTATCATTCAAATTCACAAAAAATTATACGACGATATATATTACCTCATTAATTTATTACAGTTTTCGAAAATACAAATCCACTTTTCGTAAATTGATTCAATTTTCTGAAAAACATCAAAATTAAATGTTTCTGCAAATGTATATGACGAAGAAATCGCATCAAATCATTACTCTTGGATTTTTATAAATATATTCCCATTTTTATAAATGAAATCCCAAACCGCTTAAATCGCCATACAAAAAAATTCATCAAAATGATACAAGGTGAGTACCTTTGAATACATTTCTATTTCCGGCATGTGGATCTATTACCAGGCAGTTATTTCAAGACTAAATATAACATCTTTCAGCATTATCATGTTTATTTTTTTTTCTAATATTATAGAATAAATAATTCGGGAACGGTTCATTAACCGATTTATTGACTTAAAACTAATTGTATAACCCAGTTAGCATGTTTAAATTTGACAATGGGCGAATTAAATAAAAATCACACTTGAAATCTCCTTATTTTTAGATTGATTAAAAAACAGTTAAAAAACTTCCGAAAGCAGCAAAACATAAAATAAAAAGCGAATATATTAACAGACGCTAAAGCTTAGTACCCCAAAGGCTGAAGAACCGTGGCTCAGTACCAACATAAGCATTGATAATACAAAAGTAAAGGCTTTGAAGCTCTCCATCGGTAATGATTATACCTAGGTGTATTTTTAACGTAGCTAAGACCCATTGAAAACCCCAAAGAATATAAATTGGAAACTCAAGGACTGCAGGAGCAGCAATCATCAGGTGAATATCTTTGACGTCACACAAGATCTGGCTGAGCTAGCGACCGGTTGCGTGAGGTACTACCATCCGCATTGGCTTTCTTGATCGCGCGACGCGTTTCGCATGCCAAAGAGAACCCTTCGAGAATCGTTGATTTGCGAGCCACAGGTACCATCTGCCTCACCTGGGACCCGCCCGCTGGCCAATCAGCGCGCAGGCTCCGAAGATGGCCAAGCGGGCCGCCGAGTGGGGCACCCAGTCTGCGCCTCACCTCAACAACACAAGTGCATCCATCCACCAAGTACTTACCTGCATCTAGCTAAGTATACCAAAGTGACCTGAAGCAATCATGTGCGTGACGTATAGGTATCAACCGATTCGATGATTACTCATTCGCTCATCAAAATCGCGATGATTTTGAATATATGAAGGTGTCACACTACTAGTAGTACTACCAGTGAATTACTTTATCAATAAATTTTAGTGGGTGATGATATGAGACCTGTTATGGCTCATGCCTAGCCATAGGGACTGTAGAATGGTGATGTAGAAGAAGTGATGAAGTTGGCTAGGTGATGAGGCAATGAAGTGGTGCGCGGTGGTGGCGATTATCCTGGGGCTGATGGTCCTAGGTGCGCTTGGTTGTGGTCCGGGTCGTGGTACCGGTAGACGCAGGGGTCCCAGGAAACTTACCCCTTTGGTGTTTAAGCAGCACGTGCCTAACGTACCGGAACATACGCGTACCGCGAGCGGAGCTACCGAGGGCCGTGTTGGACGTAATGATTCCCGGTTCAGGGATCTGGAACCTAATTACAGTCCGGACATTATTTTTAGGGACGAGGAAGGATCTGGGGCTGATAGACTTATGACTGGGGTGAGTAGAAATATTTTTCACATTTGTTAATTAAACAGAAAACTTTTTTAAAATTAATGGAAATGATAAGTATGGTTTTCCCAATTTCATAATTTCTAATTTTTGTTCTCAATATCTGAAACTTAAAGTGTTTAGGAATTTTCTTTCTTTGGCAATTTTAAGAATTAGGGATGAAAATCAGAAAGAAACCAGGAATTGGGTAATCCCAATCCCGCGGCGAATAATAAAACTCTTTTGTGAAAATCATATAGAAAAAAGATATATTTTAATAAAATTATTGTTTGAGAATACCAACTTATCAAATATAGTAGGTAGGTAGGTACAATACATCAGAAACCGTATTTTATCCACTCACACTAATGATTCGGTGTAATAATTTCAAATATTACCGTATATTAAGATAGGTACATATTATTAATTCGTATAAATTTATCTTAATTCCTCTAACTGCATTATAGGGTTTTAATTGATCAATTGAAAATAAGTAGCATTTATGACCTGTTTCCTTGTAATTTTTTAATTGCTTTTTGCTATTATCTATATATTTACATAGCATGAGAGTGAGTATTTATAGTTTAGTGTTTTGTTTGACCTTTCCCAATTTTATTGCTTGTTTTCCTCATAAGAGATGCATTATGATCAGAATTTTCATTTACTTATATCAAAAGATGCGCAAATTTTGTTTTACTTATGAAGCAAGGCTGAAAATTCTGAATGATTGTTGTTTATTACCAACTAGTTCCTGATTTATAATAGATAATATCTATTTTCCATTATTATTATCCATTTATGTTTACTTGCATCTATTTTTTCTGATGGAAATATTGAATTTTATGTATTTTTTCATGATCAAAATGTTAATTTTATTTCTTTACACGTAATAAAGACAGTAAAGTGGACAATGGTAAAGTACCACATTAGGTTTAACGCAATAAATTATGAAATTTTAACCAAGCCATGCAAGAAAAATAATATGTAATAATTTTATGACTAAAAAATAATAATTTTTTATTAGTACCTACTAAGCTTGGAAAACAGAAGTAGTTACTCACTAAAAAAATCTAAATTTTTATGCCTACTAGGGAAAAACGAGAAAAACGCAATCAAACAACATTCTTAACAAATTGCAGAGTCGAAAAATTCCGATAAAATCAAGGATAAACTTGCAAATTTTGCCAATATTCTATCAATTGGACATTTGAGTCTAATCAATTAATTAACTATAAAATTGCCTTTAGGAATTTGCAATTATTGTCGTACTAAACAGACATCAAGATTGAATTACGAGTAATTGATTAGATTCAAATGTCCAATTGATAGAATATTGGCAAAATTTGCAAGTTTATCCTTGATTTTATCGGAATTTTTCGACTCTGCAATTTGTTAAGAATGTTGTTTGATTGCGTTTTTCTCGTTTTTCCCTAGTAGGCATAAAAATTTAGATTTTTTTAGTGAGTAACTACTTCTGTTTTCCAAGCTTAGTAGGTACTAATAAAAAATTATTATTTTTTAGTCATAAAATGATTACATATTATTTTTCTTGCAAGGCTTGGTTAAAATTTCATAATTTATTGCGTTAAACCTAATGTGGTACTTTACCATTGTCCACTTTACTGTCTTTATTACGTGTAAAGAAATAAAATTAACATTTTGATCATGAAAAAATACATAAAATTCAATATTTCCATCAGAAAAAATAAATGCAAGTAAACATAAATGGATACGTATACAGTATTAATTGTAATAAATCTACTAGGTAGGTATGCCTACATAATAAGAAAAATATAGGTATTAATTGTTATTCGGTCATTAAACGCTTTGCAATTATGTCATATTATGTGTCGTAAATGAGGAAGTTAAAATTCATTTATAAGATTATATTGTGATGACATTGTGTAAACATGTTACAGGGCGAGAAATACTATAAGTATACCTGATTATTGCATTTATTTAAAAATCATGAATTTTTAATGTAACTCTTGCAAGTCCCAGGTTCCGCATATTTAAAATCAGTTTATTTTTGGACAAATGCTTGCTTTTCCTATATTTTCCAAAAAAAAGTTAGGAATTTATTTTTGGAACCTTAGGGCCAGTTTCACAAACAGGTAACCCAACCGTAACTACAAGACACTGGTAACCTACAATATATCGGTTGCCCCCCCCCCACCCCAAAGTTCCTAAAATATATCGAAAGTTGGGAAAACTTGGATAAAAAATTTAAAGTTGGGAAAAATTGGTTGACAAAAATTTGCGCATCTTATTTGCGAGGACTAATTATTATTATTGTCTTTTGAAAACTACTCAAGAATGAAGTTAACTGACTTTTCACAATCCATCGGTGTAATGTCTGGAGATCGCAGAGGCCCATTAATGGGATTACTAGTGGAAATTATTATTCCTGGAATTATGAGCTTGATGTCGTTGGATTTAGATTAAAAAGTAGAGTTTATTAGGCATAAAATAAAAAAAACTCGACCATTTGAAAAAACAAAGTTGATGATGATCGCGAAGAAACGAAACGTCTGATCAAAAATCTAATAACATTATCATGTAGTGGAGAATAAGTAGCAATGAGAATGTGAAGTTTATTGTGCGAGATCATTTCAAATAAAGTCAGAAAAAAATAAAAACGATTTCGGCAAAATTTGATTTTTCATGGATATCTTCGGAATATGTAATTCGGAATTTGGAATTTACGAAATATCAAAACATGACGCCACTGAGCTCAGTAATGCGCAACTCTTTCCAAATTAAACCAACCCTGTATCTCTCATGGTTGCCGAGATCAGACTGCATTCTTATCCGGGACACCCTGTATACATGTCAAGCTTTTCATCAGTTTTTGAAGTGAAACTTCTTAAGCGGCCGTCTGATATTTAGGCAAGAATATGAGCTGCTTACGATCAAGCACTTTTCTTACCTAAGTTAAAGTTAGTTTCTTAGCTGAACTAAGTTGTTTGATCGTACGCGCAATTCATATAGGCTGATCAGCTGCCTATCAAGTTACTACCATAGAGGTTACGACTCACGTCACGTATTTTTAGTTCGGGTTCTAGTTACGACTAGAGTTTCAGGTTCAGTTTGTTGTTTTTATTAATTTATTTTCAATTGAAATTGAAACAGAATTGTTTTTGTACTACAGCACAGTTTATTTCACATTAAAAATGAACAATTATCTACCTAGAAGTGTCATGAAGCATGCAATGGCAATAATGAATAATAAATTTCATTAAACTAAACACCTTTTCAAAGTTCCTGTTCCAACGACCAACTTTCAACAAAATAAAAATAAAGAAACAACCTCAATTTAGAAATTATTAAACGTCAAAATTCAAAAAATGCGTACTTCGCGCCAACTTAGGTCAGCTAAGTTATCTCAGTTAAAAATCCGGGTATCTTAGCAGGGGAAAGGGGGGATGGCAGATTCTAACTTAGTTGTGATAGATCGTACGCGCAACTAAGTTAGATTCTTTAAGTTAGGTAAGAAAAGTGCTTGATCGTAAGCAGCTATGGAGATTGATTTAAAAAACGCATCACGTAACGTCACGTTTTGGCAAATTTCGTTACACGAGAGACGAGAGAGAAGGAATATATAGTAGAATGTAGAGAGACGGAGAAAGCGAGCCAATGACAATCACAGACGAAGAAAGATTGATACAAACCAAGGTTTATGAGCAAAGAGGATTGCCTATTGTTGTCAAGCGCAGATACCCTTGAGACTCGCCTTGAGACGTCACGCTAAGTCTAAAAGCTGTATGAGGGAGGGTATAGTTTTTAAAAAGTTTCACCTCCCAACACGTGCACAATGCTACACATGATTTTTCTTAAGTGAAACATCTTGTAAAGTGTATTGAAAGACGCGCCACGTTAACGTAACGACACGTTTTGGCAAATTTCGGCACACAAGAGACGAGAGAGAAGAAAGATATAACGTAGAGAGACGGAGAGAGACAGCCAATGACAATGACAGCCGACGAACGATTCACACAAACCAAGGATTATAAACAAAGAGGATTGCCTATTATTGTCAAGCGCCGTTACCCTTGTGACGTCACTACAGTTTTTCTTTTGTGTAGCCTTTCGTCTTTATACCCCGACTCATGCGCTATGTCTAAAAGTTGTATGAGGAAGGAAATAGTTTTTAAAAAGTTTCACTTCTTAACACGTGTATGATGCTATATATGATTTTTATTATGTTTCAAAAAAGTTGGGAGAATTAGGAATGTCACCCCCCCCCCCCCCCCAAACCAGAGGCCTTCGCGACGTCCCTGACCTGAGGGCCAGTTTCTCAAACAGGTAACTCAACCGTAATACAAGGAACTGGTAACCTACAATATATCGGTTTCCTAATGTGTGGTTTAGCCGAAACCATTAGTCAATCTTCAGAATATTCAATGTAGTCAACCCGCAACTATGAGTTTGATCACCAGTGCAGGTTGCCAACAATTCTTTATTTTTGGACAAATGCTTACTTCTCCTATATTTTCCAAAAAAAAGTTAGGAATTTATTTTGGCAACCTTAGGGCCAGTTTCACAAACTGTGGTAACCCAACGGTAACTACAAGACACTGGTATCCTACAATATATCTGTTTCCTAATGTGTGGTTTAGCCGAAACCATTAGTCAAGCTTCAGAATATTCAATGTAGTCAACCCGCAACTATGAGTTTGATCACCAGTGCAGGTTGCCACCAATTGTGAAACTGGGGGCGGATTACGAACTCTCGATTCGAACCGAAACCGCCATATATTTCGAACGCATATTCTGATGCATTTGCATGGAGTGCGTTCAAAATCCATGAGGGTTTCGGTTCAAATCGAGAGTTCGTAATCCGCCCCCTGGGCCTTAGTTTCTATTTTCAATAAATACCTATTACATATTAGGTATGAGATCTAGGTACCAATAAATATGAACTATTATTTAAATCGAATACCTTAGAAAGAATGGTAAGTTGAATTTAATATTAGTGCCAATTTTCCAGAAAATTGCACTTTATTCCT